GGGGGGGGAGTTTGAGGTGTGGAATGGAGTGAAGTCCAATCAGCTTCCATATGCAAAAGACCTTGAAATGCTGGGCGGGACTGCACAAAGCAGCCAGTCAACCCAGCCAGCGTCTTCTGACTGACAGTTCTTCCGTCCAAACACTAAAGGGGCCAAATTTAGAACGTTCAATATAGAACGTTGCTATTCAATTATAATAAGGGAGAGATATGACTATAATTCATGTACAACCATTTAATGAGATTTTTGTGGCCAGCTGGACTTTGTACATGCAGGGTCCAAGAATAAGGTTCTGGGGAGAGAGAATGGGCACACTGTACTAGAATCCAGGAGTCCAGCAGGGCCTGTCCTGTGTTACGAGACCACTTCCATATCCGGGTGTTGAGATCTGCTTGCCTTGAATTTTGCATCTAAACAAGTAAACCAGTATTTGTCCATCACAGAATGAAAGACTAAGAGCCAACAGAGGAATCTGGGATGCACTATTTCAATTGCACTTACTGGAATAGAATAGCTATCCCAAAGAGAAGCTTGCTTTGCTATATCTAATCATCAGCCAGTTTGGTGTAGTGGTTAAGTGTGCGGACTCTAATCTGAGAGAACCGGGTTTGATTCCCCACTCCTCCACTTGCACCTGCTGATGTGACCTTGGGTCAGTCACAAGCTCTGGCACAGCTGTCCTTGAAAAAGAGCAGTTTGTGTCAGAGTTCTCTCAGCCCCACCCACCTCACAGGGTGTCTGTTGTGGGGAGGGGAAGGGAAAGGAGTTTGTAAGCTGCTCTGAGACTCCAAGTGAAGGGCGGGGTATAAATCCAATCTCTTCTTCTTCTTCTTCTTCTCCTTCATCAAAGATCCTTCATACTTAATCAGCATGCGTTTCACCACAACTTGTGGGATTACCATTTCCATTACTTAAACACAGGATACACGTTCATATATGGATAAATATATTCTCAATAAGAAGTGCTAAAGATAGAATAAGAACTTTTCAATGCAGATGTGAATGTAAGATTAAGGATAAAAGTAAATTTGTGTAAATGAGTAAAGGGTAGGTTTCTCTGTGTTGTTGTGAAGAGAATGTGATGTCTTATAAATTTTTAAGTGTAATCTTGTTGTCTGAATTGTTTGTATGTACAGCATAGGCGCATAATGGTAAAATTCAATACACACACACACACACATATATATGGATAAATATCCATTCCATTTCGCACTTAAGAGAATTTGACCAGCAGATATACTTTGTACAGTTTGAATTACTCCCCCAAAGACATACTTCAATGATCAAGCTAAAATTTCCCAAGCACATGCCCCTCCCCCCGGACTCCCTCCATTCTCTTACAGGGCCATCCTAAGCAGAGTTATACCTTTCTGAGCCTATTGACTTCAGTAGGCTTAGATGGATGTGACTCTGTTTATGACTGCACTGTCACTTTCTCAGGACCATGCAGTTTTCCAGTCAAGCCACACCCCAGCCCCTACCTAGCCCTCTCCCAACTTTTTTAAGTCAGGAAAGAAAGAAAAAAATAACTTTTGCCACTGGCCCTATAATGGAGGACTGACACCTTCCCCTAAATTAGTTTTTGCTTTGTATCCTTGCCCAACACCAGGTCTGTAAAACTGCTTGGGCTCCCCTCTGACCACAACAGTACATGTCTTATCTCTTCTCCTTTTGCATTATTCACTGCTTAGTCATTTAAAGTGCAATGCTAAGCAGAGTTAAACCCTTCTAAGCTCGTTGACTTTAATGGACTTAGAAGGATGTGTAGGATTGAACTTGTTAGTCACCGGGGTTTAGGATTGCACTTGTTAGTCACAGATCCCCTTTTCCTAGTGTGTACAGAGGTGGGTGTAGAATTTAAGCAAGCAGCTTCTTAAGCTTGGAAGGAAAGCAGCATCCTTGTGCCTGAATAGCTTTATGGTGGTTTGGGATCAAACTAGAAAATGCAATACAGTCATTGCCCCCCCAGATGGAAGAAATAGTCAGACAACAAGGTTGGATGAAATAAGGCCACTTTATTAAATTATTAACTTTAAACTTAATGGCAAAGGGCAACCATGAAAACAGTGGCACGGCCGGGCCTGGCGTCGCTTCGACTCCCATCCTCAAACCATAGGTAGGCAAGACACCGGCGGCCCCCCGGGTTGGAGCCAACCATAAGTCGCTTGCAATCCCGGCCGAGCCAAGATTGGGATGCGCCCTCAGGAGCCCTCAAGCACCACCGAATGGCCAGCACTGAGTCTCCGTCGTGACCATCCCCATAGGCGGTCTGCAATCCTCACCCAGGCCGCACGGCTACAAGGTTGGTCGAGCAGACCCCTCTACCCACACCCGGGGTTATTAAGTGGTGCTTGCTGGCCGCTGAACTGTATTTTAACCTAATTCTGCCCTAACAAAGTGACGAACTAGCCCCTCGGCACCATCCCAGACCAATTCCTCAATCCACTGACCGCAGTGCAGGGTAGGCGAAACAGTAAAAGAATATCTGTTCCTTTGACATATATGGGACAGGACCAGTACATAAGTCTATACTGGGCCCAGAATAATGATATCTGTCATATCTCAAAAAGAACTTTAGTAGCTGAAATAAAACCAGATGATCTCAGGCACCATTGTTTTTTCACTACAGAAAGATGATAGAAGGAGGCATCTGGAAAATGAATTTCTAAAAAAAAAAACCCAACTCACCACCACCACCACCACCAACAAAAGCCCACTATATGTAGAGTTTAAAAATTATCTCTTTGCCAAAGCATTTCCAGTGTAGACAATTATGTAAGGGCCTGGAATTTTTCATTAAGAAGCTACTAAAATTGCAAAGTGAAGGACACTTTCCTGAGATTAAGACCCATTGAACAACATGTTATTTCCTTCCAAGCAGAGATTGTTAGGCTTGCTCCTTAAATCTTGTTCTAGCACACAGACAAACAGAATACCCATCAACATGATCCATTTCAGTGATAATAGAAAAAAACAAAAAAGTCACTTCTTTTTGGACTGCAGACATTAAGACAGCAGCATTTCTTCCACAATGAATGATATAAAAGCTGAGCCACATCATAATTCAGCAAGAGACATTGGTGTGACCTCTTAAGTCACAGGCCTACTGTTTATTTGTAGCTGACATTGTTTTCACACAATTTATCTATATGCTGTAAACATTTGTATGTGTTAAACAGAAGAGTTGTTATAGGCCTTTTTTTACAGCAGCAAATAGAAATTTACTGGCCAACTAAATGCTTAAATCTGTAAAAAGAACAAATGTTATAGGGCCCAGATTGCTTCTTGTAATCACTCAGTTAAAATTACAATGGGTTTAACACTCCAGCTGTTATAGACTACTTTTCCTCTGGCTTTGACGATGGGTTATAATTTTTTTGTGAAAAGTAGTCACAACAGCAGCCTTTTTGGAATAGTTCCATAATGACAAATAAAACAGCTGTCAGTTATTTTTCTGAAAGCTGAGGATGCAATTAAACACAGAGAGCACCACACATGCAGAGCATTCCATTTCTGTAAGGAAATATTGTTAATGTGTTTGGTCAAGACGTGTATATGTTAGACATATATCCCATGTGAATGGGCCCAAGGCTTCCCAGATTGGACCCAGAGTCACACAAGATAGCCAAGGATAGAATAAAAAACATATCTGTCAAGGAGTTCCATGCCTGAACCCTGTGGGCTCTCAGGGCAGTTGCATGCAAGTAACCAGACTGATGATTATATTTAAAAAGCTTTGGAAAATTTATTTCAAATTCAAATAATATAGGAATTTATTGTGTAGCCAACACATTACCCTAGAGTCATGGAGCAAGAAAATA